TTGTTTTTCGATAGCCATATGAATTGCCTATATACAAAAAAATAATTATTGTGGGCATATTTGGACCCATGATACAAAAAAGAAGGTAGTTTCAATAAACAACTTTTGACGGATAATAAATTGTTGAAGTTTCATAAATTGTGAGTATTATCACCGGCCTGCCACTTTGATGATATTAAAACAATAAATCGGAGAATTTGTTTCCCCATATTTATACCAATGCAATATTTCAAATCAAAAACCATTATCAGTGCTTGGTATTTTTTTTACTTACGTAGCTCGCACTATTTTTATTAAAACTATATAAAATATAAACTATTAAAGACTTCATCGTAATTGTTCTTTTTATTTTATAATAAAAACCACGCGCGCATTATTTTTCTATTTATTCGTTTTCTTATTTTAAATGCAATCTTGCAATTTAAAAATCGAATTCTAAATAATGTTCTTCCCAAATAAAACCTTTTTATATTTTGGTTCAAATTCCATTTTAAATTTCTCATCAGATTTTTGAAAAAATTTGGCTTTGTGATTAGCGTATCATCATTAACTTTAACAAATTTTTAATTTAAAATGCAAAACCGCGTATCAAGACAATGGAAAAGCGCGTATGTGAGGTATAATAAATTATTTTCTAGAGTAAAAACACTCATTTTCAAAATGGTTCTCTTTTTTACAAAGAAATCGCATTTCAGGACGAATGGATAAGGGTTGAGCCAAGAGCTTCTGTGAGCAAATCAAATTGTTGGCAAAAAATGTCAGCTACGCGGTTTGGTACAACGACAATACGCGGTTTTGTACTTTAAACGACGATGTGTAAGTATACACTTTCTTTATGCGTTCTGAAATCTAGTGGTCAACCCCATTTTCGAAATTATTTAGCCGGCACAATTTTGAAGTCCATAAAATAAAATCTTCTGCTTAAAAAAATATTTCTTCTAGTGATCAGGTAGCATGAATTTGATGAAATGTCATAATTTTATTAAAAGTCAAATGGTTAACAACAACAACGAATGCCATTAAATGAAACTACCTTTTTTTTAATACAAATCGATACTTCGGTATATAAGCAAGGTTGCATTGCATTATAAACCACATTCTTAAAGGTACGCGGAAATAGTTGGTAGGTGTAGACGTTGGGTAATTGTATTAATTGGGAGTGCTAGAGTGGCAATACCGCACATCAGCAGGTGAATTTTGCGTTGAGCACGCCAAAATTAATTACATTATAATAAATGAAATATATAAGTTTTTAGTGATATATTTAGCGATATTTTGACATATGTGGTTAAAATGAAGTGTTGTTGTTGTTGAAGTCTTGTTGTTGTATGTATGGTGAAATATGGGCGACTTGTGCGTTAGTGTATGTGTATTAAGTGAATAAAAAAGGTGCTATTGTGAAAAAGTTTTTTCTTAATAACTTTTGATCGGGTAAAAACAAAATAATTTCCGCTTTCGGATTCTTTTTACTGGGGTCCAGACGCGTCTAATGGTACCTCCTCCTTTCCTAAAGTTTGACCAATTTTGGGGGTTGAAAGCCCACATAGTCTCATTTGCTTCCATATAACGACTAAACACAATTTATTTTTATATGGCAGAAACCCGCAACATCCTCGGCGAAAAAAATTCTAAAAAATCAACTGTAATTTTTAGCCACTTGAAACTTGCACATTATTAGACTAAAATTGAATGGGCTATACAACTGTGTATTCAAAAAAATTCTACCGCTTCTGAGAAAAAAGTTTGAAATTTTGGTGAAAATTTGTTGCACTTTTTTTGCGGTCTTTTAAAAAGTTTTAAACTTGAGTTTATGTGAGTTTTGTGAGAGAATGAACTGTATTTTAATTGAAAATTCTTAAAAAATAAATAAATAAACATGAGTGGCAAACAATATCACTTTGAAATGGGGGTGCTATTGTATTGGCCAATACTGTATATTCATCAATTAATTAAGTAAAACGCATTTATAAATCTGTTCACTCGTTTAACACTTTTCACAAACAAACAGAAATAACAATGGCCGACAGTAAGAGCAAATGTGTGCTGCCATACTTCTCGAAGCTATAAAATACAACTATAAACCATATCATTTTCGCTTTTGATTCAAAATTTTTGCCTGCGGCGCTTTTTATGATAAAATCAATACTTCGATAAATAATGAAAATTTTTAATTAAAAATCGCGCGATCTTTAATTAAAAATGTTCGCCTGCGGCGCTTTTTATTTTAAAAATTTTCCCCCGCGGCGCTTTTTATTATAAACTCGATATTTCGATAAATTATGAAAATTTTTAATTAAAACCCGCGCGATTTAGAATCTGAAAAAGCTCTCTATACTCCCTAATATTTTTTTTCCAAAACCTGGATCCGTTTTGGGAAAATTTCCCAAATAAAAAATTGGGCAATTCTTTTGCATAAATCAGTTTATAGGACTTACATCCAACTAATGGAAATATTCTTTTCTTCATGATTATTGTAAACATTAACCAAAAATTTAATGTTATACTTGTTTTTTTACTAATTGCGTTGAATCTGTACGATCCACAAGCAGCTAAATTTCCCTCTATGAATTTTGAGTTAGCTCGCTTTAGATCTAAGTAGGTGTGCGATATGTCATTTAAAAAAAAAAAAAACGATTATTTCCTGTGCCTGTATTGTATGCATAGGAAAGTAGATGTACATACTTACTTACCTTTTTTTGATTGATACAAATGTCATCTCGCTCATTTATATCAGATTTTATTGCCCATTCTCGAAAAATTGCTCTTGTCAAAATATTCAAGTTATATTTTCTATTATAACGTTCGCGTGGTGTGAAAAATGTGCAATTCAGATTACCTCGGTCGTGAAAGACGGCTCCACCACCACTGTTTCGACGTGCAATTGTAACACCTTGTGAACTTAGTTCTGAAACATTTGCTTCCATAAAAGGGTTTTGATGACGACCTATTACAACGCATGGATCATTAACCCATAGCAATAATACGTGATGTGTGCGAAAATCAAAGTGTCTATATAACCAATCCTCTAGAGCTAAGTTCGTGAAAATATCGTTTGACTGTGAAATAAAAACAGACTTTTTTATATTTTCATTTTTGATTGTGGCGACACTTGAACTGCCTTTCATGGGCCGATTTGTTACAAATGATGATGGTGGTAATCCAAGGTTTTTCGAGCTTTGTTCGTCTTGATACACGGAACTCGTATTAAAGTAGTTTATTATTTTAATCCGATTTTTCTCAAGCCTATTGAAAAGGCTTTTTCTTTTACAGGCTTTGGTGATTAAGGTGATCATTGCGGTGTTTACACTTGCCACAATCCAATAACAATCTTTAAATATGAACTATTCAATTATATAATTTATTATCTATGTACATGCTTTTCCTTTAAAATTTAAGTTATGTATTTAGTTTATGATCATCAAAATATTTCTGTTATTTGTGCACGGCGACCTTGAAATATATCAAAATTCTTATCAAAATGCATATGTGTTTGCCGAGTTCACTGCCGTCACAGAGATCAAATATTCATGTAACGCAATTGTTTGATGTAACCACTTCCAAGTCTGATGAAGTGCGGTTATCCGTAAACGAAGTCCTAAAGAATCCTTGCTGCAATTCTTATTCATTCCTTCGAACCCCTTCAAAAAAGGGCAACTTACAAACGATCGCCGACGCTATATTCTAATTACTTATTAGTAGGGTTCAATCGATACAAGTAAATACTCGATACTTTTCATTTGATACCAAGTATTTTTTTACTCGATACCTTTTTATTCGGTATCGAGTGAGTATCGAAAAAAAGTACTTGGTATCGTAAAGGCCCGTCCACATAGAACTTTGGCGTTGCGTTGGCGTTGGCGTCGCTTCAACAGCTGACTATGAATACATGAATTCAAATGCAGCCGTCCACATAGCCGAAATTCGACAACGCTCACGCCAACACAAAGCAAAAAGATGGCCAACTCTCAACTTTTCGCGTACGTTGCTCGTCAGCTGTTGCAAATAAATACAATTATGTGAAATATTTTTCCTTTTCAATCAAGTGCGGGCAAGAAATATCTTTTTTAGTGCAATTATTGATATGAAATATTAATTAATCTCTCGTTAGTATGTTAATTTAGTGGCCCAAGCATTCGCTGCCAAACGTTCATTGTACCAACTCCAACGCCAAAGCCAACGCGAAAGTTCTATGCGGACCGGCCTTAATTCCTACACTTTTATCATTGCAACGGCAACTCAACAAATGACGCCCGTTATTAGAGTTTTCGCGAAAAGTGCGTTCATGTAGTCGAGAAAGTAGAAATCTCTTGTCTGGAAAGCATTTAGAAAAGTTGTTGTTTCTTGGCAGTGTGCCCATCGGCGTAGCCAGAATAAAATTTAGGCGGGGGCTCGACCCCATTAAGCTGGCATTTCAGGGTACTATTTTATATATATATAAGGAAAATTTGAAAGTTAGTTTTTTACGTAGGTTACCGCATAACTTTGGACCACGTCAGCCGGTTTCGATAATTCTTTTTGCATCGGAAAGGTAGTGTCTCACAGGTGGTCCTACACTAATCTGGTTAAGATCCGATCAGTGGATCATGAGAAATATATATATATATTTTTTTATATGAGAGTTGAAGTCGGTTTTTTTTTGCTAAAGATTACTTGTTGCATAAATATTTTGTGAATAATATACTTATATAAAGACATATATGTAATTACCTGGGAACGGATTTTACCCTAGAACACACACCCGGGTACAAATGTATCCACTTTCAACTTTGAAGTGTTGTAACTTTTGAACCGCTATACCTCTATACCGCTATCGGATCTAGGAAGATTATTTAGTTTTGAGTGCAAATTCAAAATTTGAACCCGATCGGACCATTGGTTCAGGAGCTACAGCCTTCCAAACACATCATATACGTAAACACACACCCGGGATACGTTTGTACCCCAATAGTAAAAATCCTCATAATAATAAAAAAAAACATTTTTTATATTATTTTTTTATTTGAAAAATTAAAAATATTAATTTCACACATTATATTATTGACTTTTATTATAAAAATTATAAAAATGCATCTTATATCTAAGGAAAATCATGGCAAATAGAGCAATTTGTTGATGTGACCGAATGTTCAAGACACATTGGCTTCTTACATTTGTCGCACAGCTTTCTGGTTTTTCTACGGAGTTTTTCCTCTTGTGCGTAACATAAATAGCAAGATCCGGACACAGGTTTTGGCGTGCGCGCTGCGGCAGATGTTGATGCTGCTGTTGACACCATTGATTCCACCGGTCGGTTGAAATATGCTTCAATAGCAATTTTAGTCGAAAAATTTCGCGTCACTTGACGATTTATGGCTCTGGCTTCAATAATGGGCATACACAATGCTTCAGCCAAGCTGCGCAGGATCTGCTTACGCTTGTTGTTTGTTCTCCAAGGCAACATAGGGTTATTCAAATCGTAGACAATGTAGGCTGCAAGAGCTGTAATGTCCAACATGTTGAAGAACATCGCTAGTGGCCATCGTTTTGTTTGTCTTTGTGTTGGATATTCCGCAAACATTTGGTCCATTCGATCAACACCACCTTTGGTACGATTATAAAATTCAATTATTTCAGGTTTCCCACTGTCAGCTATTTCAGCATCATTATGCATGGTCGAAAGCAAAATTACTGCTTTATTTTTTTTGGGAACATAAGAGCACATTGTCACATTATTTTTGAAGCCAAATGTCGTTGAACCAATTGTCCTGTTTTTGTTCTGCTTCATTTCTGAGGAATATATGATTTGTTTTTGCGCAAAGTTCCAACGATCGTGAGTTTCCAGGTGAGAAGCAGTTCTGCAACTGACAAGGTCGTAAACAAATTGTCCATTGTAATGTTTTGGCCACTTCCTTGGTATTTGGCAGACAAATCCTTCACCACTCGTTCGCCTTGGTTCGTTTCCCTACCAGTTTCTGCTTGGCCAGTATATATTTGTCCATGCAGTGGATATGCATTTGTGGCATCGCAAATCCACCAAACCTTGATACCATATTTAGCAGGTTTTGACGGTATGTACTGCGTAAACCGTGTGCGTCCACGGTAAGGAAATAATTGTTCATCAATCGTCAAGCATGAGCTGGGCTTGTAATGTGCAGCAAGATTATTGTTCATCATCGTCCACAACTCACTGATCGGTGCTGCTTTATCAGTTAGTAAGCGTGTTGCACGAGTGTTTTTATCGTCAAATCTTAGGAACCGCAATATCGAACAGAAACGGTTGACTCCCATTGTGGCGCGATATAAAGGATAGTTTTTGACGCTCCATAAATCTCGAACATGTTCTCCATTGCTATGGTTCGCACCAGTCATAATAAGTATGCCAAAAAATGCATACAGCTCTGTTATTGACACAGGCGTCCATGACTTAGGAGTTGTGTTTGGATGCGCATTGTTGTAAGCATTATAAGTTTCTTTTGCTAACTTATTTGTGTGGCGCATAATTATATCAGCCATTTCAACGTTCATGAAACATTTGAATGTTTGCTCTATTGACAACATTTCAGTGCATCTAGCTGGTCCAGAACGTTCTCTTATAATATTTTGTCTGAGTACCTGACGACTTACATTTGGTTCTTTCATCCACTCAGTACCATCACGTGCAACAAATTTTTCGGCACTAGCAGGTAATTCATTATTTTCTTCTACTTCTTCTTCTTCATCGTCTTCTTCATCATCTTCATAGTCCGCATAATCAGGTAATACTTCTGCGGCACTTTGCGAAACTTCAGCATCGTCATCAGCAATTTCAATGTCATTGATTTGAATTTCTTCTTCATCTTCTGAGTCAAAATCATAGGGATAGGGATGCAAATTTTGGGGAGTAACATCGATACATCGATGTTTCGATGCATCGGACAAATGAACATCGATTCTAAAATACATCGCCAGAAAATCATCGATATATCGATGGTTTACGATGTTTCCAAATTTGTTAGGTTGTAGTCACATTGAAAGGAAAATTTAATACTTTCCAATTCATACTCTTTGTAATTCAACTAGAAAAATACTTACTACATATTGATGTATTTCCCTGTATTTCTTTAATATTCCTTTGCCCTTCCTATAAATACAATAAAAATGCATGCCGTCGTAAGTTCGCCGAGCCTAAAGTTCCAAGCCCCAAATTCGTTGAAATTTCAACGGGAACCCGGTCCCCTTTTAATGATTATGTACGCGTTTTAAATTTTAGGAGCATAATGGGTAAGTTGAATTCAAGTCTGAATCACACTAAAGTCGATGTTAAAACATCGCTGAAACTGTCATCGATGTATCGTCAATTTAGCGATTTTAGGAAATTGTAAACATCGATGGCAAACATCGAATTTTGAACCGATATTATCGATGTTTCAAAAATATCGATGCATCGTTTGCATCCCTACATAGGGAGCGTCATCGTCACAAATTTCATCAAATAAAGATTGTATATATGATTCTCGCTGTTCCTCAGTTAGCCTGCATAATAAAAAAATTAGTATATGTTTACATTGTTGCTTATTTTACATTTTTTACCTTCTATATGCTGCACTTGATAAATATTCGTTTCTTCTTGAAGTCATTTCGTATCCAGTTATTTATAGTTTCAGTTATATTTATTTTCACTTATATTTTCACTTCTTACACTTTTGAGCACCAAAACAATAATGAAAATATCAACAGGCAGCATTTATAACAACACCTCGTGTGAAAACAACCCTTGCAGCTGCATATAAAATACAAAAACCAGTTATACCAGTGTATTTGCTACCTACGTACCCATACCTTGCGCGACCTTTTTGCACATATCTTTTGAACCAGGCAGAATATTTCAATGAAATAAAAACCAAAATGTGTATTCGTTGTTACTCTACAAGTATATTATTATAAATTATATTATTTTGTTTTGCATTTATCAGGACAACAACAAAAACAAAAATCCACTGTTGCATGTCCTGACTTTATTTGCCCATATCGCTGGAACCAGTAGGAATATTCGAATGAAACAAAAGACAAAATACTTGTTATATATTAAAATATACATTTCAAAAAAAAAATCATAGAAATCGGTTGAATAAGCATTAAAAAAACCGCAAAATAAGGTCCCGGGTACAAACGTATCCCGGGTGTGTGTTTACGTGGTATTTTCTGGGTGTGTGTTCTAGGGTTTATGGAAATTGCCTTTTTCTGCTAAAGAGATAGAGTATATTCGACTAAGAATGTCCACGATTTAGCTTTCCCTGATTCCATATATACACATTTGATTTTGACTTTTTTAAGATATTTACCTTTTTTGCCTTTTTTAAGATATTTGCCTTTTTTGCCTTTTCTACCTTTAAAAAAGGGATTATAGCATTTACAAATTTTTTTTTTAGATTAAAAAATATACACATGCCCATGCGGCTTATAGAAGCGCTTGGAGACAATAAGGGGTGTGGATAAAATTGTAAAGGGCGAGGAAAACGCCCTTATTCCTGATAATATGAACGTTTCAAACATTCCATATATAAATTGGGCACCACTTGTATCAACTTACGTCGAGCGCGCATTTAGTACATTCAAGGCTTTTCTTCGCGAAAATCGAATGAAAATGGTGCCAGAAAACTTCAAAATGCATCTTGTGGTTCAATGTTACTACAACTCTACAGA